TGTGTTTCAGTGTTTCAGCGCGTTGATATGGGAAGAGTGCATCCACAACAGGATCACACATTCTGACTATAGCACGCAATCATTTTGTAATGTTGTATTAATATTAATTTCAGGATGCATTTCCTTGAGTTAAATAAGCTGCCAGCAAAACGGTTCAGTTTACCGTGTTCATTCAGCTCTTCAGCTTCAGCATGAGCTGCAGCTCAATGGCTGCTATTTAAAACAGTGGTATTCATTTGTTACTTTTTCAAAATCATTGATATATTATTAATAACAAAAACCACTTGTATTTTTCTCTTATTATATTTATCAACAATATGGTTTAGTAATTAAAATCATTTAATTATTGTCAGTGCAGAGGCTATTCTGTTTTATTGATCTGTGGCGCATTCATTTTGATTCTTTACACGTGTAATGATGTCCAGTGACTTGTTTGCATTATTTATGCATTATTTTATTTATTTGTAAGACTTTTTTATGACTAAATTTGGTAATGGGAGAGTAAAAATATTTTTAAAACGTACACCGTTCAAACTAGGCTGCTTATGTTGAAGTGTTTGGGATGTGGCTTTTAATGATGAGACCTTTTTTGTAATCAGGCTCTCAAAAAGTATATAACAATTTGGATATAGATTTATCGGCCAACATATCGGTTATCGGCTTTCAAAAATAAAGAATAATCGGTTATCGTATCGGCCAAAATTTTAATATCGGTGCATCCCTAGCAAATATGTTAATAATTTTAACAAAATAAGAGAGCTCATGATATTTTTATTTAGTACTGTGCTGAATAAGCTATTTCACATAACAGATGTTTATATATACTCCACAAGAAAAAAATAATAACTGAATTTATAAAAATTACCCCATTCAAAAGTTTACATACCCTTGAATCTACTTTGTGTCGTTTCCTGGATGATCCACGACTGTTTTTCTGTTTTGTGATGGTTGTTCATGAGTCCTGCGTTGGTCCTGAGGAGTTCAACTGCCTGCTGTTCTTCAGAAAAACCCCCCAGCTCCTGCACATTCTTCGGTTTTCCAGCATCTTCTGCATATTTAAACCCTTTCAAACAGTGACTGTATGATTTTGAGATCCATCTTTTCACACTGAGGACAACTGAGGGACTCATATGCAACTATTACAGAAGATTCAAACGCTCACTGATGCTCCAGAAGGAAAAACCATGCATTAAGAGCCGAGGGGTGAAAACTTTTGAACAGAATGGAGATGTGTAAAAATTTTTTATTTTGCCTAAATATAATATTTTTTTGAACTGCTCAGGACCAACGCAGGACTCGTGAACAACCATCACACAACAGAAAAACAGTCGTGGATCATCCAGGAAACGACACACGGTATTAAGATTTGAATGGAGTCAAATTTTTATAAATTCAGTTATTATATTTTCTCGTGGAGTATATATAAACATCTGTTATGTGAAATAGCTTATTCAGCACAGTACTAAATAAAAAATAACATGCAATTTTCATGAGCTCTCTTATTTTGTTAAAATTATGAACATATTTGCATATTCTGCAACTTATGAGCACAACTGTATGTGCATTGATCAATGTTTATATGTAAAACAATGAACATTTGAAATTAAATTTGTTCATCATATAAAGATATTATGTCTTTTCAGACTTGGATTAAACTGCTTTGTTCATTTGGATTACTTTTACATGTTTTCATGAACTTTTTGAAATTTCAACATTTTGGTTGCATGGACATTTAACAGAGCGACAGAATCTTTTCAGGTTTCATTCAAAATATCTTCATTTGTGTTTTGAAGATTAGCTAAAGTGAGTTTGAAATGACATGAGGGTGCATAAACAATGACTTGATTTTCATTTTTTGGGTGAACTAGCCCTTTAAGTGAGAGAAATTTTAAAACCAAAGTGTTTGTACCTCGTGTACACAGTCGAAGAGCTCCCAGTCGTAGAGAGTCATCTGATGAGCCAGATCTTTCGAGCTCATGAGCTCAAACGTGGACATGGAGCCTGCAGACGGCCCTTCCTGCTCCGGCAGCGGAGTCTGCATGAACGAGTCGATAGATTCATCAGTTAATCAGCCAGTCAGTAAGCTAATGTACGTTTGATCCTGCGTGATTACAGCCGATGTGTGTTATAAATGCAGTCTCCGGGGGCTCTTACACACCAAAGAGTCGATCTGGTCCCTCGGGCAGACAAACAGACGACCATTAATGCTCAGTGATGAGAAGATGGACACATCAGCTGGCTTTAGAAGCTCTTTATCTGAGAAACACAAACACAGCCATCAGTCATTCTGCCTTTAAAGACGTCAGTAATTAGCTGCTTCTCAAATGGCTAAACCTTGAAGTTACTTATTAAAAATAACTGCGCTAAGTATTTTTGCAATATTTACATGTCAAAAAGCAAACAACAAGTTAAAAGGAATAGTTCACCCAAAAATTAAAATTTGCTGAAAATGTACGCCATCTAAGATGTAGATGAGTTTGTTTCTTCATGGGAACAGGAAACAAACTCATCTGCATCTTGGATGCTGTAAGGATGAATACATTTTCAAAAAAATGTATTTGGGTGAACTATTCATTTAGAAATATCTTGTTAGTGAGTTTTGCACAAGCTCCACTTACATATTCTTCAGAAAATTCACAAATCTAGTATAGCATGTACTATTGGTTTATGAGACCTAATGTGTGCAGTTTACGAAAGAACCAAAACTTAGATATCCAACCAATAGCCTCTTACATCAGCTTTTATTGAATGTTGTTGCTGAAAATCCCACAAAGTGTCACAGTTTTACCTCCTTTTTAAACAGCAAACCCTTTTAAAAAAGGATTGCACTTAATTTTATTTAATGTGCACTTCAGATCTTAAGTATATTTTTTAAATCCGTACTTGCAGATAATATAACTGTAATGAAATAAAAGGACATTTACATGCAGTTAAGTGTAGTTTAGTATGTATTTAAATTTTAACGTACCAAATCACAACTTCATCATTACAAATGTGTAATTACATATATATTTGAAATACATGACATGTACGTTTCAGTAGAAATTACATTTTGGTTTTAGTGTTTTAGCATTTTTACAATTTTAGTATACTTAAACTAGACAACAGAATTGCATATAAAAATGTTATAAAGTCTCACTTAATTTGGTTCGAAAATGTAAAGTTTAGCTAAATGCATTTAATATAATTTTAAACAATTAGCATGCAATTATGTGCCCCAAAAAATTACATTCCCTTCGCACTCAAGTATTTTTTCATAATTAAGTAATTTTTGCTTAATAAGTACTCTTTTTTTAAAAGTATATTCTAAAGTGTTCTTCCTTTTCACAAGGGTATCTATTGATGTAGCATTTCAGAACTTAACGTTATTTTTGTCAAATGTTTTGCTTGAAAATCTTGTTTGTGCTATTGTGAATGCTTCACTGTATCTAAAGTACTGGGTCACAGTGTAGCAGACGTTACTGGCAGTGAGTATGGAGCGTCTGTCTCAGAGAGCAGCAGCACTGGGATGCAGAATGTGAAATGCTACAGCAAGACGAGTGCAGCAAAGAGCTCATATTGTCAGCCAGAGGTCAAAGAGATGTGTGTGTGTCTGTGTCTGTGTGTGTGTGTGTGTGTGTGTGTGTCTGTGTGTCTGTGTGTGTGTGTTCACCTCCGGCTGAGTTGAGGTGGATGAGCAGAAGAACATCTCCTGACCCCAGCTTATCGGTAACGGCGCAGATGACCTCTCTGACAGACGCAGCGACAGGCACTCGGATAGTAGAGTACGTATGATCACTGCAGTACACCTTAAAGAGGACTTCAACACAACACAAACACATTTGAAAAGAACATTAACATTAAACAATGATAATCAATTGTTTTTAATCACAAAACACTATTACCTTCAATTAAATATACACATGTCATTGATTCACATCTATTCTTTGTCCTAAAGTCTTAACCTCTTTTGAACCTTCTTTTTGTGACTCTTCCCGTCTATTTTTGGTTGATTATTTCACTTTTGACTCTTATGTTCTATGACGGATCTCTCTCTAATTGTTGATCCCACTCAGAATAAACAAAAATGAAATTTTCTTGCCATGTTGCCCTGGGACAAAGGTTACAGCTAAACCCTTACGATGTTTTATTTACAAAAAAAGTAAATAAATAAAATCTCCTTTGTATTCAAGTAAAGTTCCATAACCACTCATTAAATATAATAATATAACGATTATAATATATAATGATAAACTGTAAGGAATAATGTACAGAAAGACACTTTGTTCAGTTGCCATTCATTTTACATGAACATTTATGCATTTGGCAGATGCTTTTAACCAAAGCGACCAAGATAGTAGCCTATCTATATATCTATATATGCCACACCTGTGAGGTGGATGGATTATCTCGGCAAAGGAGAAGTGCTCACTAACACAGATTTAGACAGATTTGTGAACAATATCTGAGAGAAATAGGCCTTTTGTGTACATAGAAAAAGTCTTAGATCTTTAGATCATGTTCAGCTCATGAAAAATGGGGGCAAAAACAAAAGTGCTGCGTTTATAATTTTGTTCAGTGTATCTATCTATCTATCTATAAATACAATTGTCAATGTATATATTGTTATTTCTTATTTACTTGTTCTATTTTTTTTTCTTCTTCTTTTATTATCTGTGTTTTTGTTCTGTCGCTGTCATTCTGTTACACTGTGGAAGCTTCTGTCATGATAACAAATTCCTCGTGTGTGAAAACATACCTGGCAATAAAGCTCATTCTGATTCTGATTCTGATTCTATCTATCACATCTGTGAAATTAGCCACAGGAGAGAATAGTGTTCTGTCAGTCACAACAGAGAGCAGATGCAGACTCACTCTCGTCTGTGCTTTTGATCGGCTGTTTCTTCTGCAGTCTGTCGTTCCCTGTGCTGAACTGACGCAGCAGGACTTTGTGCTGAAATGAGTGAGAAGGACTACTATCACATGACACTTATTCAGCACTGAAGAGAATACTACAGAAACTCTGCTTGTTTTTATTCCCCCCTCACCTTTTTCTGAGAGGGCCGGCCATCATCACAGCTGTGAATAAATGTTATGAGTGTTACGATTATGAGCAAGTAAAAGGTTTCTCTGAAAAAACTCAGTCTGATAGAAAAAAACTGCTGTATTACAGTATATATATATGCACATTTCTGAGACCTCTACATTATCAACATGATCACAGTTTTTTTAAATATTATTGGAAGATATTGAGTGACACCTGATATTTATATCAGTGCTGTCAAACGATTAATCGCATCCAAAATACAGTTTTCTCAATTGCTTTGGTGCATTTCTCAGATCAGAAATGAAATTCTCAAAACTACTTGCTCAACCTCCACATCATCTGGTCACTTGTGCACATCATAAAAAGTTTCTCGTTCTTTTGAACAAGTTGTGATTGCTTTGGTACATTTATGCAATTGATTATGTACATTTGTCTGCGGTTTCCTACATTATCAGTTGCTATTGTCATGTTGCTCAAAATTTATTATATAGTTCTCTGTGCAATAGTCTTACCCCTCAAAACATCCATACAGTATATATTTTGAAAATATTTACATATATTTATATTCATATAATTTATATTATCTACACTTATGTCCATATATATTTAGACACAGGCACAATTTGTATTGTTTTAGCTGCTGACCAAAACATATTCAAGTTATATACAGTTCTATAATGAATATGGGCGTAACGTGCACACTCTGCGCTTTAATTTGAGGATATTCTCATCACAATTGGAGGAAAGGTTAAGGAATTACAGCTCTTTAATACGTACCTCCCCGCTTTTTCAAGGGACCATATTTTTAGAGTTGCTACTTTTGAATTTTTTTGAAACATTCACACCATTTTTTTTAACCAGTTTGACTGATTCATTGAAAATACATGATTCAAATGAACAATTTACTCAAATGAAATCAGTAGGTATTGAAAGCAAGTTTCACAAATGTTGTGCACAAGGGCAATATCTATACTACCATGCAAAATTATGATATTGGTCAAATTTTTCATAATTTTGTGATATAAAACAGTTTTTTGATGAATACAGAGTTAAAAATAACAGCATTTATTTGCAATAGAATTTAAAAAAACAAAAGCATTATGGATTTTTTTTTTACTGTCACATTCACAATTTAATGCATCCTTGCTGACTAAAAGTAATTTCTTTCAAGAAAGAAAGAAAAACATTTTTACACAGTAACACAACATTTTAGGGATCAGCATAATGTGATAAATGTTCATTATATGAATCTCATGACATTTCCAGTCCTGGAAAATTCTAAAAATCCCTAATATTTCCAGGTTTTCCATTAGCGTGGGAAATACTGCATTGTTTATTTATTGAAACCTTATGTACATGACTGTGATGGTCAGCTCTGCTCATATTTCAGATAATTCTGAATTAACTCCATCTCAAAAATGTACAAAACGTGAAATACAAAATAAAGTTGCATTTAGCCACTTCCCATTTTACTGTTTACCTGCGTAGATTTATCTGACTGGCTGAATGCACTGCAAAGTACCTGACTCTGTGAACTGGGAGTCGAGCTTCATTGTCTCCAGAAGATGCTCCAGAATCTTCTCCGGAGTTCCGGACATCACCGTGTACCTGAAGAGCAGGTGTAGTTTACAGTTACTCCACAGTATTCCTAAATTCCCAATGCTAAAAATGACAGAAGAACAGAAACGTACTTGAGAGGAGAGGAACTGGAGCCCCTGTTGTTAGTTTTCTCCAAAACTAACACATCCTCCTCATGTTCCTTCAGACGGACCGTGTTTGCTTCCACATCCTGAAATAGAATTAATAGATTTAGAACAAGAAATAGATATAATCATAACTAATCAAGCGATATTCATATGTGATGTACTAACATCTAATGTACTAAGATCTTAATGACTGGTTAGGTTCCCACAGGAAACAAATCACAACAGATGATATGTGACCCTGGAGCACAAAAGCAGTCTTAAGTCGCTGGGGGATATTTGTAGCAATAGCCAACAATACACTGTATGGGTCAAAATTATAGACTTTTCTTTTATGCCAAAAATCATTAGGATATTAAGTAAAAATCAAGATATTTAGTAAATTTCCTACCGTAAATATATCAAAACTTAATGTTTAATTAGTAATATGCATTGCTAAGGCCTTCATTCGGACAACTTTAAAGGTGATTTTCTCAATATTTTTAATTTTTTTTGCACCCTCAAATTCCAGATTTTCAAATAGCTGTATCTCAGCCAAATATTGTCCCATCCTAACAAATTTATTCAGCTTTCAGATGATATATAAATCTAAATTTCGAAAAATTGACACTTAAGACTGGTTTTGTGGTTTAGGGTCACATACGTGACACGAGGTTTCTGACGACAGTAGTTTAGCAGCAATAAGCAAGCAATAAACTCACTATTACAGCACCGATGAGCTCCGATCATATAGCTGATTTATGAATGATCAAATGTCACTTCTGTAATGTTTGTTGTAATTCAGCATCATTACCAGTAGAGGGAGACAGGTTCCCAACCTATTTTGTCTGAATGCCTAAATTACTAATATTAATGTTCAATTTTATTTTAAAAAGTACACTTGAGATTTGTTCAAACCTTTCGATTAATATAAGACACAATACATTTAATGACTAATTGTTGCATAGAGAAGACAGAGGCAAGTTGTCATTGCTACAACATACAGTATGCAGCTGTATTTTATCAACTGTATCTTTTTTCTTGAATAATAATGTTCAGTAGTTTGTGTTCAAGACTTTATACAGAAACTGACTGTAAAAAAACAAAAAGCAAATCTACTCTGACAAATAAGGAAAAAGTGTGACAACTAGTTTCCCCAGAAACGATGCCATATTAAAGCCTGCATTTAAAGACTGTGTCCTTCACCATTTCTAGCAGTTGCAGTCTTCATAAATACTAACTGATATCTTGAATACAGATTGTTTTGTCCAGTTGCATCATGCCGTAACTATGCAATAAATGACCCTAGAATGTGAAATCTCACTAAATCTGCCTAGATGTGTTTAGATAGTAGGCATCCTGTTTGTGTGTGTGCCAAAGACACACCTCACTATCAGACTGAGCTTCCGCTTACACAGCTTTCCTGAGCTCAGCTCTCTATTGTCAGAGCGCTGCGAGAGAGATCCTCCTGTGCTGCTGATGGACGGACCGGTATACATACAAACACAACACCAATGCAGCCAGAGAAATCTATCAGACGATGAGTAAATAGTCATTGCGCCAACAGCACATTAGCAAATAGTACACTAGCAACAGTACACTAGTTTTTGAGCTTCTTCTTTGACTAGATTCTGTGGACATTCACTTTGTGAGTTGCATTCTGGGACTACATGTCTACATGTCTGCTGCACACTTGTTTTCTGCTTTTCCTTGGCTATCAACTCACACATTTCAATTTTTATTATTTTATTATTAATCCATATTATTTATTATTTATTTATTTTTTATTCATTTTTATTATTATTTTTTTTTTAAAGTTTAGATTTGTAAAGAAATTCAAATGTAGGTATCAGGGTTATTATGGTTTACATTTACGGTTCTGTATGTACTGTACATACTTGTTGTACTAGTAGCAATTACAAAACCTGGGTAATAACTAGGTACTAACCCGGAACCTAACCTGAACCCATGCAGTTACCTTATATTACCCAGTACTTTCTTAGGTAAGTAAGTACAGTACAGTAAATTTTTATAACTTGGAAAAAATATTAATAAAAAAAAAATATATATGAAAAAAGATATCTTATTTCAGCTCGAAGCACTTTAAAGCTAAATAAACTAATACATATAAATAATAACTATGTAGACAAAAAAAAAACCTAATTAAAATGACAAAGCACAACAAAATTACTAAAACTATAAAATGTGAAAACAGAAAATATAAAAGTGTTCAAAAACCGATACTAAAATAACAATGGTAGTTGTCATTGCTATTATTATAACTAAAACTGGTAAAGAAAGCTGAAATAAAATATAAATATTAGATGAAAAACTGTTGATGAACTGTTGATTTGGCCAACGACCTGAAAGTTGAAGTACTGAAATTTTGTAAACCAAAACTAAAATTGAAATAAAATCCACAAAGTGTAAAAAACAGTGTATATATATATATATATATATATATATATATATATATATATATATATATATATTTATGTGCATGTGTGTATGTATATGTATATATACCTTTGAGAAGCGTACTTATTATGGAAATAACATACTTTAAAAGAATATATACGTGCAAAGTGAATGTAATGTTTTCAGACACTTAACTGCATGCTAAGTGAAAATGTATTACATTTTAAAATATTAAATGCAATTAGCTGAACTTTAAAGAGTTTTTTGACCCACTTACTGTAAGTAGGATATATAATTTCATAATTACGTCTCGTCTTTGAAATATGGTTAAAGTACTGCTAAATGTACTGACAAGCCTTTATGATAAACAGAAATATATGTTAATGAGATTTCTATTTATGTCATGTATTTAAATATATTTGTTATTACACATTTGTAAAGATGAAGTTGCAATTACTACATTTAAAAATACAGTAACTTATAATGTAGTATTGAATAACATGTTACAGTTCAATTACAATCATGTGCAATTATGATCAAGTCCTTTACCTGTGCTTCAGTATGTTAGTTGTCATATTCTGTGATTGTCTCTGAAGAGCGCGAGCCCTCACACGTCACACGCTTGTGTGAAGTACAGACTGAACGGATTGTAAACACATCCCACCGCTGTATGGCCAGATGAGACGCGACTGGATAACCAGTCTCTCTAGTAAAGTTTTGATGGATTAAGACTGCAATCAAGGTAAAGATGATTGCGGTGGCGTACAGTAAGCACACGTGAGTCCGTTATAAAAATGCGTGTATGAGTAATGCACTGATCACACATTGTATTTATGCACAGGCACAGACATTTCCATACTTTCACGTAGTTTCCACACACATTCACGATAATGTTTTGATTGGCCATGTTTATGTTGCTGTGTTTAGTTATACTGAATGGATCCGTGTACTGTAGTAGATATATGTTTAATTATACTGAATGGATCCGTGTACTGTAGTAGATATATGTTTAATTATACTGAATGGATCCGTGTACTGTAGTAGATATATGTTTAATTATACTGAATGGATCCGTGTACTGTAGTAGATATATGTTTAATTATACTGAATGGATCCGTGTACTGTAGTAGATATATGTTTAATTATACTGAATGGATCCGTGTACTGTAGTAGATATATGTTTAATTATACTGAATGGATCCGTGTACTGTAGTAGATATATGTTTAATTATACTGAATGGATCCGTGTACTGTAGTAGATATATGTTTAATTATACTGAATGGATCCGTGTACTGTAGTAGATATATGTTTAATTATACTGAATGGATCCGTGTACTGTAGTAGATATATGCAGTCAGCTGTCGGTTGGTTTAGGGTTTTTTTGGCATCTCCATGTGGTCATGTTCGGTATTGCAACTTGGCTTCTCTAAAATTTAAAAAAGCTCTTTGCTGTTGCACTGTACACATACTATAATATTCTGATTTTTTTTTCTTTCATATGTGCTTATATGGGCTCATTATATAATTTGGTTCTTTGGTGTCTTTTTGGAGTTTCTAAGTGTCCTTTTTTGGAAAGACATCTACAATTTATCTTGAAAAAAGCTTGCAGAAAATATAGATTTTTGAGAATCACCCTTCAATCTTTTGGTTTACTTTGCTGAATATAGCAAATGATGACAAAATAAACATTTGAAACAAGACAAATGGTCTATGCTTAATTTCATGAAGTGTGTAATTTTTTTATATATATTTTTCATTTACTGAAATGTGTGTATACCAAACTAATTCCCTCTAACTTCATATAATGTGTACTTACAGTGGTGGAGAGAAGTGATAAGGCTTTAATATGCAGCAGCTCCTCATAAATGATCTCCAGGTCATCTGCTGTCCTCTGGCCAGGCCTGCCGAGAAAAGCAGGGAGGACACTGATGACTTTGAAACTTATTCTGACATTCTGGTGCAGATATTACATCTCCCAGGACCTTTAGAAGGTCTCTCCTTCAGTTACAGCATGCATATAAAAGTCTAATCTGCCTTTAAAGACTTTCAGACTATTCCAGCCAAACAGGAGCAGATAAAGATCAGATCACTCGGAGGCGCTTCTCTTAATTACCCAGAGTCCTATGGGGGACGTAATGACTCATATTAACAGGCGCTGCTGCTTCTAAGGAACGTACTGTTTACTCAGGATCATTCGCAGATGGGCGTCAGGTCCGATCTGAGAGAGGAGCAGGAGGGTGTCCTGTAGTTCTTCATCGCTCTCTTTCTTCTCTTCCTCAGTGGGGAGGGGTGCGTCCTCGGTCTCATCCTCCAGGAAGCGATAAAACAGATACTTATCTTGGAAACTCAGCTCCTGGTCCACTGCAGCCAAACACAGAACCAACCATATAGCACAGAATCACATGTGACCACATCACATCTGTAGTGTAAACAAAACTCATGAAAAATATACATAAGATACAAAAGTTCTCTCTGGGGCGGTACCTTTTTAAAAGGTACTAATATGTACCTTTACAGTGCTTAAACTGTATGTACCCAAATAAGGTACAAAGTTGTATCTTTTGAAAGGAAAGGGTACCTTCCAGTGACAGCTTTTGTATATTTTCTAAAAGTGTAAGGAATAATGATCATCTGCATTATAGATTTTAATTAAGAGCTGCCTCAAACTGTGCTCATATGTTGTGCTGCCCAATCACATTTATTTATATAGTGCTTTATACAATACCAGATTTACATCGATAAACAGTGTTAATGTTCGCTGTAATTCATCAGCTATAAAAATACTTACATTTCAGCCGTAAAGCAGCTCTAGGCAATAATGTCATTATTCAGCTCAGTTCAGTTCAATATTGTTTTAAGTTCAATAACTGTTGCAAATTGCTGTGATTTATACCTTAATCAATGACTGACCTGCATGTACACTAGTTTGAGGTTGGTAAGATTTTGAATGTTTTTGAAGTCTCTTATGCTCAACCAAAGCTGCATTTATTTCATAAATATGTGAAAACAGTAATATTGTGAAATATTATTCCCATTTCTATTTGAATATATTTTACAATTTATTCCTGTGATGTCAAAGCTGACTTTGTAGCATCATTACTCCAGTCTTCAGTGTCACATGAGTTAGTAGTTATTTATTTTTATTGCCATGCCAGCATCTAAGGCATCTTAATGGCAAAAACTACAATAATACAAGAGTTACATAAACACAAAATAAAAACCAAGCAAACACAAAAATATGGCAATTAAAATTATAAGATTTTTTAAAATTAACATATGCTAAAAATTCTAAAATCTTTTCTGGTAAAATCTTACTAAACAAGTCCCTGAGTGAGCGTTCAGTGTCACATGATCCTTCAGAAATCAGTCTAATATGCTGATTTGCAAATCAAGAAACATTTCTTATGATTATTAATGCTGGAAACAGTTGTGCTACATAACATTTTTGTGGAAACTGTGATTCTTCGAAAACAGAAAGTTCAAAAGACATTTAACATTTATTCTAAAAATATTTTTTTTCTTCGTAACATTAGAAATGTCTTATTTGTAACTTTTGATCAGTTTAAAGTGCTCTTGTTGATTGAAAGCATTGATTTCTTTCACTTCTGAGTGATAGTGTACAAGATGACACACTCACCGTGGTTTAGGATGCCCTCCTCCAGCAGCACCTGCCACATCCCTACAGCCTGAACACGAGCGTGAACACAGGATGTGTGCTGCATCAGCCAATCAACGAGCTCCGTGCCCATACAGCACTGCCTACAACACACACACACACACACACACACAGACACAGACAAACACACACACAC